GAGAGGAAGCAAAAGAGACGTAATAATGACAGATAAATGAAAGATGATGAGCTGCAAGGCTTTGCTTACGAGCTGAGACTGAGTGAGGAATCCCACGAGCCTGTCAGCGGTTTACACAAGCGGGTACGAGGCTCGTGCCCAGGCAGTGTCACTGAGAGGCCCTCACACCACTGCAGCATCGATGCACTAATCACAGTGCGACAGGAGCTGCTTCAGGACATGAATACATTTCTTAAATTTATTCCAATCACTTTCTCCATAATCAGTTAGCTTTAATGGCAGCCCTGTGTAATTATTCCTGTTCCCACGACCAATTATAATACTGACAAAAAATGCTCCGCAACTCTGTGCTTTTATCTCATGCACAATACATGTCCCGTCAGCCCCCCTGGACAGAGAAACCAATTTATCATCAGCAATGCACCCCTAACCGGGTAAGATGTCTGATCTGACAGCGAGACATCAGTTTGCACCCTGCTGTTCCTCACATGTCCTCATCTGAGATTAGTTACACGTCATTCCTAATCCTGTGTGACACTCCCTAGCAACCGGTTCACCAACACGGTTTCTCTCCTTCATGAAGTGAGAACCGAACTGATGGACGCACCCCATTCAGAGAGCATTTACTAGATAACCGCAGATAAATAGGATAACAGCAGTTTTACATGGGCATCCCATCCGGTGTGGCCCCGCCCACCTGATCTATGCTTCCTGGGACAGGTGGTTCATGGGAAATGCATTGATGGGCGTGACATACATTCAATAGATATAAAGAAGTCAAATACATAATTTAACTGTGATCACAGACATTTCCCCAAACAGCAGGATGTACTGAGATGTCCACACCCCTCTCCTGCTCTATTATTACTTCCAAAGACATCACACTTAAAAATAAACCATTGTACTTAAGGTCTGGTACATAGCTGGTACAGTAAAATGTTGGTGTTGAATGCTTAAGGTCATTGTTAAATGGAGTTCCCCGCAAAGACCCTTTATGTTGTGAGTGAAATAACATTAGGCAGATATCTCAGAACTTGAAATGTCTCTTAAAATCAACACTGGTGAGACTGGGGGGTGTCTGAACTGGCACCAAAAGGGTGGGGCAGGAAAGCCTCAAGATATACACACTCCTTGCTTACCAAGGCTTGGCTCCGAATGTTTACTAGCCTTACTAAATCAACTGGTTGCACTTAGCAGGAATCAATATCACATTATTGGACTCTCCATCGCTGAATTATGTCTGTCTGTTTTAATTTCCCAATTACCTACAGTTTCGCAGAATTAACCATGGCATCTCGGAGTGATATGTTTGAGGGGCTGGCTGCTGGTAATTTGCCAGCCGCATTGTGAAAATGCTAATTAATACACTAATAAGCAAAGAAACACTTAGAGAGCGTTAATTCATATTCAGAGAAATCACGAAGGCGTTTAAAGGGACGTCTCAAAGACCTAAAAATGACTCGAGAAGAACAACGGCGAGTGTGATGTACCTGAAAATGCTGGGAGACTGTCTATGCAGACAGAACAGCGTCTGGCACGGTGGTGGGCATACTGGCAATGTTGGGAAGAGAGATCCTCACTGGCTGGGTGAGTGAGTCAGGAGGCCCCCATTTATTAGTATTGATTGGTCCCACCTTGCCCTCATTCGCAGACACATGTCTTTTTCCCCCAGTAACTTGCACACCAGTCTGATACAAGCCTCCAAACCTGTAAGTCAGTCCCACGGCTGTTTGCTGATATGTCCGTCAACAAGGCTCCTTGATTTGACATTTACCTTTGTGTCATAGGCTCCACTGGATAGGATCTCACTGCGCGGAGTGAAAGCCTGATCTCTGCACACATCCTGCTATGGATCACATCGCGTGCTGGATGTCTAACACAGAGTCTTCCACCAAATGAACCGCTCCCGGGCCGATTGTGGCTGCCAGCATGTACGTTCAACCGGGAGCCGGAATGCACCAGTTTGCGGTCAGTTACGCATTATGGACTGAGTTTTATATTGCGCTTTCACATCGCACAAACACACATCAAAGTGAAGCTGTTCTCTGCAGTGCGGGCGATTTCGTTCCTGACATTTCACTGCCTTTCTATCCATTTCAGATATTATGTACTGTCTCTTAACACTCTTGGGTCATTCACAGGGCTGCCGCTTTCACACTCTCACGCAGGAAATCTTACAGCAAATCTATATTATTCCATTATAACCCTAAAATTAGCGACGTCCAAAGCGTTGGGGTAGTTTGCAAACCCTACAGACTATTTTCAAGGTGATGAAACTGTTACATACATGTGTGTATGTGTGTGCAGACTTCAGCTGAAAATCTCACTCCACTTCATGTATAAATTCCCCTGGCTGATGCTGTATCACATGATCTCGCTGTCGGTGGTCATGTGATCCCATGGTACCAAAGCAGTATGAAAGTTTCCAGTGATCTTCCTTTTACCACCATAAACTACACTCCTCTTTTAAGATCCTTTAATATTAAATCAATACTGCAGGAGGCTATATATACACTTAGAGAATGGTAGAATGGTATATTATTTATAGACAGAGGTACAGTAGCCACCCCCAGACTGGGGAATGTCAGGTGTAAACAGCACCTGAATGAACCTGGTTATCTCCCACTGGGGTATTATAACCAGCTGATATGACAGGACACGGTTAACTGACCACAACCAGATGGATAATAATAATAAAGCAGTTTTCTACCTGTCTGTGACTCCGTGGCGTGTAAACTCTGGTAGGCCTGCATTGGCTGTGACCATCTCCTATAAGAGTCATTACACGGAGCCTTTGTTAAAACTGCTTCACTTTAGTATCTCATTTACAGCTCTCGTCCTGCTCCACTGCCTTCTATATTAATTTGAAAATTAACGACGGTTCTTTGCTGTAAGGCGAAGCTGTAAAATCCCGGACTAATTAAGCTGTAATGGTACCGAAGACATGGCTGTGAGATGATTTTAATTACTTTTTAAAATTAAAAGTAGAATACTGTGTGCATAGAAATTGTCTCTTAACTATATTTATATGACTATAAACATCTGCAAATCTGGCAAGAGCATATGAAATAGACCACGTTCAATATACGACATGTAAAATGCTGGACCGGTCTGCTGATGGGAGTTGGAGTTCAGGGTCAGGTGGCACAATGTGGGTTTGAGCTTGGCTTGGACTCCATTACCCATAACCGCCTTAAGAGCAGGCCCATGCTGAACATCCCTCCCAGGTGTTAAGTAAGAAAAACGTGGCCACGTCGTTGCTCGCGCTTTGATGTTATATTATTTAAGGGCCTATAAGAGCAGCCTGAGGGACAAACTTCATAGTAGGGCTTCATCTCCAACCCCGTGTATAACACACAGCGAGTGACAGGAAATATGCAACTCCAGCTGTTACATTAACCAAGATAATGGCATATTCTAGGATCTTCCCCTGTAACTGCCTGTGTGAGGTGTGAGCTGATTGTGACGCCCTTTCAGCAACGTTAAACGTGACATCTGTCACCTGGGCATGTCTACGGCGCATGGTAGAGACGGTAATCACTGACTGAGACTGAGAAACAGATACGGCAGCACGCGGAAAAAAAAGAAAAAAACATATGGCGACGAGAGCTTTGCTGCATGCTGTCTGATCTGCGGCAAACGGGCGCGGAAAACGTTTGGATGGCACCTCCACGGGTCGTTTGTGCCTTCGTTAGTGGTGAGATGCTTTGGGAGTTCAATTAATTGCCTCTTTCATAGAGAAATTAACATTCAGAGAGTGTTCTTAATTTATCTATTATGAAATGCGATTTGGACATAAATAAATATGTAGTGTGTGTGTATATAATACATATATGTGTGTGTGTGTGTGTGGGACAAAACACACACACACAAAGACACACACACACACACATATATATTTAATTATTTAGCATACTGTCATTAACTACAATTGAAAAAAAAAACTACAGGCAATTTATTGGACAGGACATAAATATGTGCAATGTAAACAGAGTAATTATACCAGCGAGTTCATATGGGTTCATATGGGTATAACGAAAAACAGCCCAATCTGAAAATAGCTCAGCCCTGTCCAGCTTGCCCACTGAACTGTGTCTCCCCTGTAGACCCCGAGGATTAGCTTTGGTAATGGATGGACCCTAAAATCACAGTCAGATTGATCCTGTAGAGAAATATTACCCCAGCCGCCTGAGAACAGGAAGCACATAGATCAACAGCAGCGGCAGTAAACATGCTTTTATGGGCTGTGATACAGAGCAGGACCTGTAGAGGGCACCGCTTAATGACTTTATCATTTTACACACTGTGTTAACCCTTTGCTGCATTCACTGCATATGTTAACTCACTGCATGTCTAAAGCAATCGTTCCATTCACTGCATGCATTCACTCTATGCATGTGGGGACCTGGCAGTGGGGAAAACATCTATTCATACAACTGTAGATGAGTTTAACAGACTTTATTAGTTGGGTCCTCAGTATCATCTATTTTTTTTTGTTTTTTAAGGATTATTTTGACCCTAACAGATTCTAGCCCTTTTAAAGGATTTGCACTGCCACCTGCTGAACAAATTTGAAACAACGAGGAAAACAAAGGAGGTTCTCTGGGGGCAGTGTTACCATCAGAGGTGGACATTTCAGGTCCAGAAAGTAAAAATCCAGACCAAGATTTTGTTTCAACCAGCCAGCTGAGCACTCAGTGACTGTGACTTTTTATGCCCAACTGATTGGTTGAAACAAAATCCTGGCTTGGATTTTTACTTTCTGGGTCTGAAATGTCCACCTCTGGTTACCATGAACATTTGACTTCTTGACCGACCTTGAGAGGGTGGACCACCACGACACCCTGATGAGTGACACAAAAGCAGCGGCCGCACGTGTGCCATCTTACGTTCGGCTCCGAATGTGCAGTGTGAAACGAGTCACGTGTACAGGACCCTGACCCGGGTTGCGTTTGTTCTATCAGCTGTCATGTCTATTTTGAGGCGGCCTGCACGCGCCGAATGTCTGCATGCCTCACAAAGGGACAGACGTAAAAGTCTCAGAGTGCCGCAGGACCAACATCAGTAAGTAGCTACAATGAGCGATTTTTATACAGGGAAAATATATACAAGATATATAAATAAAAAAAAAAAAGTCACCAGCCTCTAACATGGATAACAGGGTAGCAAAAATTGACCTGGGGGCTGACGTTATGAAAGTTACTGGAACGTCATTCTAACTTAATGTTTTATTTCCTATTTGTGACAGTTGTTGCCTTGTAATTGTTTAGACTGCCCTTGGCGATTGAACAAAAAGGCTTAGTGTTGCTTATTAGCAGTTTGTGCTTTTATTTTCAAATTAACATGCAGAGCTGAATGCCGCGTTAAGGGTTATTGTTCCATTAGCAGAGGGACGGTGCTGCTGGCTGTCAGTCAGTAACGATAACGGCAGAATCTCCAGTGTCGGGGCACCAGTCAGGCAGGCGGGAAGTGCACTGCGTTTATTTCAGCCGAGTCTGCTGGTCCTCGTGCCTCTTCACCGCAGGAAATCTCTGCCAGGAAATTTGTAGTGCTTTCGTTGCAGTGCTTTTCTTAAAAGTATTAACATTCTTGTTTAGGATCTGAAGACCCACAGAATCTGAACGGACAAATGGTAAGAGTCTGGTTTGTGACATGGAAACATCGTCCAATGAAAAACACGTAACTGCATTATTCCAGGAGGGTGAAAAGACACATTTTCTCCAAAACTGTTTAACAAAATAAACCTAAAACAATGTAATCAGACATCTGTAGTATAATATAAAATATAAATATAAACCTATCTTGACACAGCTGTCAGAGAATGGTTTAATATTTTAAGTGCATCTACTTGGACTGTTGTCAGTAAGATAATAAGTGACTACAACTAATCTCACTCTATTCCATCTATAGTAAAAAAGTCACAATCGTCAAAATGTGGACTTACGTGGTTTTCATCGGGCAGCAATGAAATACTGTAATTGTTCCTAAAGATTTAGCACATCTACTCTGGTTGTTGCAGTTGGTCAATAACTACTCTGCTATGCATGTTTGTCCAATGCAGCACTGTCACATTGCAGTTAACCGCTGTAACCGAGGTTAACCACATCGCTTAAGAGTATAATAGCAGCATCCTTCCCAGGATTTGAGCCCAGAATGATTCTGTGGTTCAGATCTTTAATTTGACACCGGGCTGCAGGTGCTACCTTCAGTTTACAGTAGTGTTTCCCATTCCGGTCCTTGGGGACCCACAGGCGGTCCACAATTTTGCTCCCTCCCAGCTCCCTGTCAGACAGTTCACAATTTTGCTCCCTCCCAGCTCCCTGTCAGACAGTTCACATTTTTGTTCCCTCCCAGCTCCCTGTCAGACAGTTCACATTTTTGCTCCCTCCCAGCTCCCTGTCAGACAGTTCACATTTTTG